CTGAAAAATAGAAAATTGACCATATGAACAGTACCACTTTGCACGAATCTAAGATTAATTAATGAGTTCTGGATACCAATGAGTATTTTTGTCTTAAAGATGGTATTAAGAGTTTTAAATAAAACCTGGAACTATTTCATTTTGATTTTTCTAAAATTAGTTATGAATTTTCAAAATTTGACCTTTGTTAAGGTTACAATGTGTTAGTGGCAGCTTCACCCAAAAAGGGGGTGAATTTGGTGAGTTATAAAAATTTTAAACATAATAAAATAGTGATATAAATAAAATAAAGAAAGTTGAGTTAGAAGGATTTCACCACAAAGTGAAGACACAAGATTTATACTGGTTCAGTTTCAACCACTTGACCTACGTCTGAGATTTTTCCACTATGATCCCAAGTTTAAACGCGCTCTTGGCGTCTCAGTACAGTAATTGATTTTTTCAATCACTCCCCCTTACTACCCGTAAGGTTACAATCCCTCTCAAGAGTCCACACTCTTGAATTACTCTTAGAGAATGAGTAAAAAGATATATCAAACTATCTTATAGAGTAAATGAGTAATAAACACTAAAGCTCGGTGAGAAAACAGAGTATTGAATGCAACAGTAAGTATTTCAGCAAATGGTAGCTCGCGTACAATCCTTTCATTCAATGCTCTTCGCGTCTTTTATAGTTGGAGAAGTTTAATTAACTGTTAGATTGAAGAGCTTCTAGCCATTGGAAGTTCGGTTGGGTGTGTTCGGTAGTTGCAACGGTAGTTCGCCATCAATGTTTCTGACATGATAGGTTAGCAACTAAATAACCGTTGAGCTTACTTTGTAATCTGTAACAATACTTGAAATAAGTAAGTTCTTTCTTAGAAGGAAACTTGTGAAGATAACTGAACAAATGATGATAATTGATATTCATATACCAATTGGAAAAGCAATGAATCAATCATCAGGTGCTTTAAATATGAATTGAACATACTTGATCGATGTCTTGATCCATAAGTAGTTGATCGATCAAGTTATCGATTAATTATAGAGAAAACTTTAATCACACATATAGACATTTATTGATAAGCTTATGGATCAACAGATGATGAATAAGTGATCGATAAAAGATGAGAAATGAATACAATGACTTTTGAAGAAATTTTGCAAGAATAAAACTTTAAATTCATCTATGCCTTTGAATCCTTTCAAAGGATAGTTGAGACTATCAGTAAGGCAGAGAAAACCTTAAAGATAAAGATTCAAAAGATTTTTAAAATCAACATGAATAGTAGTTAGGAAATGACCTGGTATAGTGATCGAACAAGTGATCGAAAACTGTTTGATCGATCATATTATCGATAAAGCTAAGTATGAGGGAAATAGATTTTCAAAGAGTGTTGATCAAATACTTTATCGATAAATAAATGATAGGAAAACTGATCAATAATAGGTTTAAAACAGATTTTCTTAGATAAGTCAGATTATATGATGTTCGAATATTTGATCGATTAAGGAATAATCAATTAAGTGATCGATAAAATATCATCGAAAAAACTTAGTTAAAAAAGACCAGGAGAAAGCTTGATTGATTATGTTATGTGAAAACAGAAGTTTCAAAAGTTTGGATGATCGATCATTTTATTGATAATTCAATGATCGATTAGGTGATCCAAAAATTACTTAAAACAGTTCAGTGTAGTGAGATGGTGGTGATCGATCATTTGATCGATAAAGCACTGATCGATCAATTGATCAATTAAGGAACATACTTAGACAGAACAAAAATATTGATAAACCAGTAAGTTATCATGTAATTTTAGAATGGGTTATCATAAGTCTTTGATTGATAAAGTGATCAATAAATGGTGAATAAAACAGGATACAACGTAAGTGGGAAAACTTTACCATTTATCTATCTTCTCATCGATAACTTATTGATCAATCAGGTGATCGATAAATGCTCACTAAAGTTTTATGACTTTATCTGACAGATGATCAAACAATTAATTATCGATCAAGTGATTGATAATTTTCTGCAAACTCTCACACTCACAGAGTTAACCTTGATCGATCAACTCATAAAGTTAGATTTATCTAGCAATTTATTGATTAACCTTACTGTTAAGTTACCTTCGTACAGAGACATTTTATCTAACACAAGATCGATTAACCTTTGATTGATCAGGTGATCGATTAATTTACTAAACCAAAACTTACATAATTTGTTATCATCAAAACCTCAAATCTAACACAATAAATAGTAACTCGAATTTAAAAAATTTTAAAGTTCAAATTTTTATGACTTAATGCCATAAGAAACGATCCAAAATGGTTCCAATTGTGACAAAATAAGGTTTTAAAGTAAGGTGTGACAGCGACTTAACATAGTCGCCGCTCAAAGTGAGATTTTCAGCAGCAAATATTATTGTCGCTGTTAAAAGTCATACTTTTAATGGCAACTTAACATAATCGTCGCTAAAAGTGAGACTTTCAACGGCGATAGTAGTCATACTTTCAGCGGCGACTTTTATTATCACCACAGAAAGTCAAGTTTTAGCGGCAACTCTTGTTCCCAAAGGTTCTTTTTTTTTTTTTGTAGTGTATGTCGCACACTAGATGTTATTACCTTAAATATCGTCCTTTTATTGTTCAAACTTTTGACCTGCTTGTTCTGCATCCCTTCTTGCTATTGCTATTGAGCCGGAATAAATTTGGTAAAAATTATAATAAAATCATATATATAAATAAATTGGATTAGACTTTTAGCGTCATCAAAGATGACGACTGCTATATTAAATATTATTATTATTAAATATTTATATTTAATTTTCATATGTTATTAAAATATTTATTCATAATATCTGTTTTGTATAAAAAATATATTCATGTGATATTATTTGTATTATATTTTTTAGTTCTAATTATTTAAACTATTATATTATTTATTTCAATATTTATATCTGTAATTATTAAATATGAAAATAATATATTAATAATTTAATTATGAATTTTATATAAATAATCTATCACACACATATATAATTATAAATTTTATCATAATTCTCTCTTACTCTCACACACACATTCTCTCACTATCTCTTTCTCTTCTACACAACATGTGAAAATATGTTATCTCTTGTCAAATCATATTAAAGAACAAATTATTTTCTAAATATGAAGTTTATTTTAAAAACTTAAATAATAAGAAAAATTTATAATAAGAAAAATTTAAAATAAACTTTTAGCAGCGGCAAAGAAAGTGACCGCTGAAATTAACTTGTACACTGGCTTATATAATTATTTATATTTATATTTCAAGTTAGTATCATAACAAAAATCATATAGCAACACATCTATATATTGATATCAAATTAGAGTATTTGCTTCTTTTAGCAGTGATTTGTGGTTCAATTAAGCTTAAAACTTGCAAGGTGATTCGAAACACCTAAATCTTAAATCTGAACGATGTGATAATGAATTTTCCTGTCTTCTCAGGATTTCCTGAATAGCAGTTCATATTTGCTATTATCTAGTTTGAGTGATCTTGATCCGATGGACAATCAGATGGTGATTTGTAGACCGATTAAGGTAGAATTTTGTGCGGTGATTCAAAACACCCAAATTTTGAATTTGGATGGTACCATGGTCAATTGGATCCTCATCTCTCTATCTTCCCCAGATTTGGTGTGCACATTAGAACAAGTTATGTGCATTGCAGTTTGTGATTTTTGGAGATGAAATATAATATACTACAAATTTTGTTATAATCTCTTCAAATTATTTGATTTCGTTATATAATATAATTAGATTTTATAATAGTTAATTTTTTGCTTAGATAATATAATTTAAAAATATGGATTGGAGTCAAATCCAACCTGAAAAATATAAATTTTATATTTTAAAAGATGTAAATTTTTTAATATAAATAGTAATATAACAATATAAAAATCATTTTATCATATTAATAATTAAAATTATCATATAATGTATTTTTTGAATAATTGGAAGTATACTTTGTGAGGCTTTAAATGTCACCGCTAAAAGATAGAAGTTGCAGCTGAAAGCCCCTTTCAGCAGTCACATTAGGTGACTTGTCAGCGGCAATATAATTCATTGCTGCTGAAAGTTTATACTTCGATAAATATAATAGGAATTGTTGTTAAAAGTCTCACTTTTAAAAATTGATTTTCAGTGACAACTATGATTTCAGCCGCATTTTGTGTTGTTGCACTGAAAGTTATTTTTTTATACTGTTAGAAAGAAAATGCTTCTGTATTTATTTTTTAGATTACATTTTTTACCCGACCCAAAAGGTGCGATCAGTGACAATTTTTAGATCAATTTTCTGAATATTTAAAGTTATTTTTTTAACTGATCAAGAAAGTTCGACTTTTCATATCATTTGTTTTTTCTGAAAACAAAAAACGACCAAGAACGCCCAAAAGAACCGATGTAAAAGTTCTTTATTTCTCCAATAGTGCTTGTGTCTTTTTAGTGTTTTGTCTTAGCTTGTTTAAAACCATATTTTGACCCACCAATGTATTTTTGAAATTGGACTGTGACCGCAAAACTAATTTCCTCATTAGTTTCAATATCCAAAAATGATTTGTTAGTTAAATCAGTTTCAATTTTAATTTCTGTCAGTCTAGTGATTAACATCGTTATTAATTACCATTATAAATTTTGAAACATTATTGCATTTAGTCAATATACAAAGCATAAATAGAATTTATAATTCACAGTCATTATCCCTACTTTTTTGCAAAGAAAATTTAACTGTAAGCTATTTTTTTCCACTATTCATGCAACTCTCTTAATTTTGGCATTGGCACAAAGAAGACATATTTTTGAGCCACATGAATACATATCATTGATCCTACATAATAATTCAACTTAATTGTAGCCAATGTGATGACATGGAAGTTTGGTTACGTATAGCCCATGTTTTATTTCATAGATTTGAGCTATCATACGAACATTATTTATAGAATGGATGATTGGATTCTTCCTATAATATATATTCAGTTTCTGCTCTTTGGTTTGATAGTTTCAACTGCACCACCGGCAACGCCTGCGTTATCAGCATCTCTGACATCCACTTTGTCTGCCATACCTCCACCCCGACCACCACCATTTCCTCCGCCTCCTCCCGAACCACCGTGTCCTCCACCTCCATGGCCACCAGGTCCGCCACCTCCTCCCCAACCACCTCCTCCGTGGCCACCAGGCCCTCCACCTCCTCCCCAGCCTCCTCCTCCGTGCCCGCCAGGACCTCCACCTCCTCCCCAACCACCGTGTCCTCCTCCTCCATGGCCACCTCCTCCCCAGCCACTGAGTTTGCCTCCTCCCCCATCGCCAGAATCTCCTCTTCTACCGCCACCAGGTCCTCCTCCTCCCCCAGGTCCACCTCCTCCACCACTGCCAGGTCCTCCTCCTCCAGGTCTGCCTCCTCCACCGGTGCCAGGTCCGCCTCCTCCACCTCCTCCAAGTCCACCGCCACCTGCGGGTCCACTTCCTCCCCTGCTACCAAGTCCTCCTCCTCCCCAGCCGGCAATTGTCCTCGAGTTTTTTGCTGCAACAAAAAGCAACAACTGTGTATAAATTTGCAGAATTTTGGAATATTGAGAAGCTCTGGAGTTCCATCGAGAATTTCGTACAGTCTGAGACACAATAAACTCGTGTTGAGAATCTTAAATATAATTGTCAAAATCGTGAAGACCAAAAAAGTTGCCTGCATCTAAATCTTTTTCCCCACTTGCTGGTTAAAAATCTATCCCTAATTAAAGAGGATTTAGGGACAAAATCATTCATTAGGAGTTGGAGGTAAAACCGAGTAGTTCAAAGCAATCCCATGATTTAACATTAAAAAGAAAGCTTCATTCGTAATCATATTAATCGTATTGCTTATGATAATAATATATATTACCTCTTGATTCTCCATTGAAAGGCTGATGATGATCGGTTGATGCAACAGAGATGAGTAACATCCCAAGCAAGAGGCACAGCATCATCATAAGGGTCTTCATAATAGCCATCTTTTTTTGTTTCAAAGGTTATTACGAGTTTACTTGTAAAGGTTATCTCAACTTGTATTTATAGTGGTCATTTGGAGAACACATGTCAATGAATATGCAAGGTGAGTTTCCAAGTACCATTAAAATGGCTTTAATTTAATGCCTCGCCGAAGTACAATTAATGTGGAAACCTATATGTGGATCCTAATCAACACTGGTTGACACATAGAAGGGTTGAAACAATGACGAGTGTGTGAATTGAGGTAAGCAAAGTTTGTGAGATTATGGCAACTGGCAAGTGACTTTTATATATCCATTATTGGTCAGTATGGAAAGTTGAAGGCTTCGATTTCAAATATTATAATTAGATAACTAATTTCAGAAAATTATGAATTAAGTTATTTATTTATATAAAAATGTAGTAACTTTTCTAAAATATCCTTGTCTAAAAACTATCCTATTGATCGTACCCATTAGTCTGTGCAGTTCATAGAATTAGTCTCGCAAAAAAATAACAAATGTGTGAGACAAAACAAATTGGTATTTTACTTTTTGAACCAAAATTTATTCTTCAGCTAATTATTTCATTTAATATTGAAGTGGTAAACTAATGCATGCATCGCCTTGATATCAACTCTTTAAGTCTTGTTCTTGACTCGGTGCAATAATTGTCCATGTTACGCAGCGCGGACGCAATAAAGTGATAACATCTCTTTGTGTAGGTCCCATTCATAATTTTTCGTTTTTTTAGTTTCACCCTAACCTCAAATGGATTAAATTGCTATGAGTTATAACGTATATTGTGAAAACTATCCCACAGGACAAAATTGCTAAAACGAAAGAGCTCAAAAGTAGGATCGTTAGGGAAGGCACTATTGGAGTGAAGGTTACAACTACTGAATTATACTGTCTCCTTAGTTTCAATTTTGTTTCTTCTTATTTTTAATGCTTTTGTGTCTTTCGCCGTGGTGAACGTGTCAAATTATGGGTTGCTGCTTTTTATGTATTTTGTCACAGCAAAGGTTGCAATTTTTGCAGTTTTAATTCTTTTAATTTTTGAATTTCTAGTTTAGTGCTGATATGTATCCTGAAGCCTATGTCATGCATGTGATTCAGTTACTGGTGGATCTATCTTGGGCTGTTTACCTTTTTAATGAATATGAGTATTTCCTCTTGAAGAGTTGTGAAGAGGACTTGAGGCCTAACGCTTGAGTATCACTTCTGATATGGTGACTTGTGATGTAACTGTTATCAGGAGCGTGTTTTTTCATAACCATGTTAGAAGGGTCGTGGCCTTTCTAACATGTTTATGCATATATATGATGAATCTTTTTGTTGGAATATTAGTTAGCTCCTTTATAATGGTTTATATTGACTTTTATAACCATGATAGTCCATTACATGTGAGTGAAACTCTTTTCTACCATTGTTAGGTTATGAAATGATACAGTCTAATCCTTTTTCTCCTATAGTAGATCTGTAAGTGTCTATTTTCTTTTTTTACCATAGTAGTTTATGCAAAACAAATTTGAAATGATTTATTATATGCTAGTAGTAGGAATGATGGTGTTACAGTCATTATTTCTCCAATCGGACAGCGATATGATGTAGTTGAAGGACTTGCAAGACCAAAGCTTGCCTGCCTCCATTTTTATTCTCCCATATTAATTCCATATTTAGTTCTCAACTTTGAATCAAAAGAAGGATGAGGATGATGATGGTGAAGTTGGTAACGATGACTAGAGCTGAACGAGCTGATGATAATGACCAACTGTGGAAAGTTGACCAAAGATGAGAAGAGGCCAGCAGTGGGGCGAAGAAGCGGTTGGAAGGGATTGATGGAAGAAGAGAGATTTGAGATTGATGAGAGGGGCAATAAAGTCATTTCACCCACATTCTGATATCCTACTTTGACCCATGATCTGATCGGAGATTTGTTAAATTAAGGCCTTGATTTGGGGTTTTAGTATTTTAGATGCATTTAGGATTTTCCCTATTATTAATGTAGAAGAATTAATGACTATAATATCAGGCTTTCCCACAAAAGGACTAAATGCACGGATATAGAATAAAATAGTAGAAAAACAACCAAAGCATTGTATTACTTTCATCCCGAGTTGAGGAGAAGCATGATTTTCAAAAATTACGATTAAGAAAAGAGAAAATCTCAATTAAATTCAGCTGAAATATCAAAATCTAGTGTGGGCGAAGACTAGGTTGGACTCATTTCAGGACAGATTGGGGAAGGTAACGGGTTTGGGCTTATTAGGCAGTGAGGTGGATGTTAAATTAGGAGGCATGGAGTCTAGTGGCAAGAAAGACGTGGGCAAACCTAGTATTCCAAAAAGCATGTGATAAATATATATTTTATAATTAAATAGGTGTACATTTTAGGAGATATTGGATTAAAAAGCTCATGAGAATATTTGCACATCATATTTTATTATAATGCCTGATGTTCCTTTCTCATATTACAATTTGTAAATTTTTCCATTCACCCTATAATAAACCCAAATGTATTGGTTACAAATACATAACAGTTTCGGGTGTAGCCATCGCTTATATCTTGGGACAATCTTTGCCCCATCATATGTGTGACGATTTTGAGTGTTAACCATCTCGTATCGGGTGTGTAGTTAGACTCCATTTAATATTCCTTCTATTGTCTAAATCTCCATTTCATATTCTTTCTATTGTAGGAGCATTGGAGCACTCCCTCATCATTTTTAAGGAATCTAGAATATTCCTTCTAAAATCGCCGACATTTCTTGGAAGCTTCTCTGAAATTACCCTTATCTATTTATTGTCTCCGGTTTTAATTATAAGGCTTCCAAGTGTAACATCAGTTATCTCCAACCTGTTACTAGCCTTTTTAAACTCCAAATTTAATAACACTAACCATGGTAGAAAAGAATCTTAGTATAATATTTGAAAAGGCTACCATGGTTATAAAAAGAAATTTAATTCGCCAAGAATGTTAATCATGATAGAAAAGACCTGAACTAATTATTCAAAATGTCTATCATGATTATAAGAGTTTTACTAAGCAAATTATATGAATACCGTAACTAATAATATTTCACAATAACTGGGCCTTGGGCTTTGCAAAGCCCAGCACATCACAATTCATCTCTAAGCCCATAACATGATATTTTCAGAATAAAATTTGTCCAAACCAACAGTAGTCAACTACTTTCAAAAGTTATTGTGGGTTCACAGCTTACAGACCCACGCAACCCAGCAACAAAAGTAACTAAGACCATAAGTCTCGATTAAATCAGAGTATGCAAAAAGAGCTATATGTGGCAATATACAATACTCATCACATGACTAAAAGGAGGCTATACAAGATAAACTTGATAGCTAAGCCTTCGCTGCCTTCCCTGACGGACCAGCCCTAGAGCTATTATCTGAAAATGTTAAACCATGAGGTGAGACAAAAGCCTCAGTAACCAACAATCCTACTCATTAAGCATACAAGTAAGTGCTTGAGAGGTGTCAAGTGGAACAGTTACTAAAATCATAACATTCACAATTGTCACATGGTTATATATATACATATACATATCAAAATGCAATATCTCACTCTCAATTCCACCTTATTTCCTCACACCTTATTTCCTCTGACTGAACCCATGGGCTAGTACTGTCCCATGTAACTGGTAGTTCAACATAATAAGCTCACCGATCAAGTGATGTGAACAGGCCAAAATCCACAGAGCACAAGATCAGACCATGGGTTCCCCCTCTAGTCCACTAGTGGGGTGTCATACGCCCTACAACACATGATAGGGCCAAAGGATCAACCAGTGTACATCTGGCGTCCTCCCACCTTATTACCTCTATAATATGTACAAAAATTCACCCCCTTATTCTCCCTATAACATGTCTCCCACCAATCAACGTTCACCGTCCCCTCTCGTATTTATACTCATGAGAATAGTCATTTACCAGTAACATAATAACTTTCACATTTACCAAAAATTGAGATTTCGAAATTTCAATAATCAACATCAATCCTCAAACCATTTCTCAATAAATTCTTGTTCCACATGACAAATTTATAAATTCATAATTTCATACTATTTTTCAATAACATAAAGTATCTCAAGGTAATTTCAACAATGATGCCTTTCATTGTTCAAATAATAATTCAATGGCATTTCAAGAATCTCATATAATTCGAAATCACTCACAAACAGCATACAAGCATACATAACAAGTGAAAAGTGGTTACCTTTCACCAAGGCTATAAAAAGAATTACTACAAAGTCAACCCTGTGCTCAAACCAACAATCCAATAATCAATCTACACCATTAATATAACCACAAATTAATATAAGCTAATTAATTAAGCTTATATATATATTAGTTAAATTCCTAATTTAATTTAATTATCATTCTAAATTCTCACAACTCTTATAATCCAAAATTAAGTACTTTAGAACTAATTGGTAATTTTCTAACAAGCCAAATTATTTATTTACATCCCTCAACTTAATAATTAAGTGTTAACTGTTTCTGAATGTATCGCTCTATTTTTTTCTTTCAGCCGTCAAAACCTAATAATTAAATTCTCACCATTAGAGAAATATAATCCTGACTAAAAATAAAAACCCTACTGGGCTTGGGCCCTTTTCCTGACCATGGGCCACACTCAAGATATTTTATAAATTCCTAATTAAATACCTAAATAATTTATAATAATAATAAAATATCTCACATTCTCCTACTTGGCCCATGTACTGTATGTCAATTGCCTTATCCCATACAAGCTAAGTCTATACTGCAAGAATCATGGCGACAAGTCCCCTTAAGTCAGGTATTGCCTTCCATGTATTACAAGTAGCACCCTTACTTAATGGGTATGCCTTTATTAATAAACTCAATGCTTATTCGGTTCCTGCCTCATGCTTATCAAAAATACATTTACATTCTATTACATTTTATCTTAATTACAAGTCTCAATGAAAACCCCCAACCTTGTCCAGCTCAATTTGCATTACCATGGCATTTAGTTA